CGAGGTGGGGTGCCTGCTCCTCGCCCTGTAACCTCCGGCTGCTCAAGCTGCGGACACACGTCTAGCGGGCCAAGGCCTTGGACTTTGCTTCATGCGGGTCGACCCCTGAGGCCCCCCATGGGTGTCCCCGCTGGCAGAAATGTAAATATGTAAATAGACCTTGGCTCGCTATGGTTTTTTAGTCTAGAGTGTATGGGCAGGCCGTGAGCCCAGGACCATGTCCGTGAGGCCCAGGTGTTCAGGCCAACCTGTACATACTCTTTACTGGCCCCGATTTGTCACCCTCCCTGGAATAAACACCTCTTAAAAGTAAAAAAAAAAAAAAAAAGTCTGTCTTTCTTTCTTTCTTTCTAGAACAATTGAACGAGTGTATTATGGGTGCAATCTTTGCTGGAAGCTGATCTATCAATGTTTCATTTTTAATAGTATGAAGCTGAAATGTATCATATCATGAGAACAAAATCTTTCTGAAGCATGGAAAATATCACTGGTATAGGATACTAACCCAGGCAGTCATGCTGTCTCCTGTCATGAAACAAATGTGGTTGTGCTGGTCAGTAGTTGGTGAGTTGAACTGGAAAACTAATACAAGGATTTGCAGGAAGTGGTATTGGGGATTCAGTAGGTAGCACTATTCCCTCTGAGTCAGTGCAGAAACAATAGTGTTACTGGGCACTCTGAACTGGGTGAGGTAAAACTGAGGTCATGGCCACTTTTGACACTTTGCAGTAAAAGAGAGGTGTTAGGCCACAGCCCAGCTAAATTCAGTCCATCTGTTGGCATTTGCATTTTGCCTGAAATACCTGAACAATTTTCCTGTATACTGCTCCTTTGTATTATTAAACAGGTACCATGCTGTACCCCAGCAAAGGGCTAGACCACAGGGATTTGGTGTATTCTATGTTATATATGCTCTCTATCTTGCTAAGTTACTTTGGTTTCTGAGTAAAACTTGCAGTAAGTTATTTTAAGTGCCCTGGAACTTCTGTCAAAGCAGATGAAAATTTCAGCAAATGAACAGACATGAGAAACAGTAATGTAGCAGGGGGAGGGGCACCAGTCCGGGGTGCCTACTCTGAAGAAGCACAAGAATGGCAGCTCCTCTGGAGTCCATGGTGCTGCAGCAGCTCCAGCTTCAGCTATAGTAGCAGCTGCCAGGTGTAGGGACTCTGTACTGCTGCTACACCATCAGCAGCATTGACAAGTAGACTGAACATACTGCCCCTTGCCAAAAGTAAATGAAGGAATTTAAGTCTCCAGGGCAGGTAGGACTGACCCCTCTCTTCCTGCCCAGGGTTTTTCACAGAGCACAAAACCTACTGGTTTTGCTTCTGAGAAATATTTATATGTTATATCAGAGGAAAGTAGGGCTGGAAGGGACCTTACAAGGTTATCTAGTCCAGCCTTCTGCTCAAGGCAGGATCTGTGCTGACTAAATCATCCCAGCCAATGTCTGTCTAACCTGCTCTTGAAAACTTCCAGGGATGGAGATTCCAAGATGCCAGTGTTCAAACCTGTATTTTATGTAATTAGGGTTGTAATTACTGCATCTGTTCCAATTCTGTGATATATTACAAGGGGGACTTCTTATTTTTACATATCCTACAGTCCATTCAATGTTTTCCCTAACATTGGGTGCATCTACACAAGACACTACTATGCAATGGAACAATTTACTGCACAGGAAGTGTCAGTCTACACACACAGATACTTACTGCACAGTAAATTGGTCTACTCTGTGGTTAATGTGCTACCTGCAAATGCAGCTAGGAAATTAACTGTAGAGTAGTTAATGCATAGTAAGGCACACGTAGATGGCAAATTTGTGCCTGGTCAGTCAGGCAGCAGGAAGTGGGAGATTGCTCCCTGCCCTCGGGAGCTGCCTGCTGCCAGGGCAGGCTCCAGTGGTGGAACCTGGACCAGGACAATGTCCCCCTGCCCCGGCAGCAGGGAGCTCCCAGCCCCAGCTCTATGATCAGAGTGGGGCCTGGGAGGTTGCTCCCTGCTCCTGGGAGCTGCCTGCTGCCAGGGCAGGCTCCAGTGGCAGAGCCTGGACTGGAACAATGTCCCCTTGCCCCAGCAGTAGGGAGGTCCTGGCCCTAGCTCCTTGATTGGACTGGGGGCTGGGAGATTACTCCCTACCCCCAGGAGCTGCCTGCTACTGGGGCAGGCTCCGATGGTGGAGCCCAGATTGGGACAATGTTCCCTTGCCCCAGCAGAAGGGAGTTCCCAGCCCCAGCTCCATGATCACAGAGCCTGGGCTGGGAGCTCCCTGCTGCTGGGCAGTGGGACATTGTCCCAGTCCAGGTTCCCCCATTGGAGCCTACCCTGGCAGCAGGTAGCTCTCAAGCACAGGGAGCAATCTCCAAGCCCCTGCTCCATCTGCAGAGCATGGGCCAGGAGCTGCCTGCATGGAGAGGGTTCCCTGCCCAGCCTGGAGCTGGCTGGGACCTGCCTTAGACCAGGACAATTCCCTGTCAGTCGTGGGCTGCATGGGGGAGTCTGCATGTGGACACTTCCTTGTGCAGCCCCAGGCTGGCTGGGAACTGTCCCAGTCTGGGGCAGGTCCCAACCCCACAGCTCTTTCCCAGCCACATTCCCCTATTGAGCTATTGAGGCACGGGACTTGGAAAGAACTGTGCAGGAGACCAGCCCCCTGCCCCAATCTGCTGGTGGGGCAGCTAGCAGTGAGCCCCTGGCTGGATGGGGAATCCCCACCCAGCCAGAGGCTCACTGCTAGGTTCCCTACTGGTGGGACAGCTCCTGGCTACCCCTGGCTGAGCATGGAATCTCTGCTTAGCCGAGGGCGCACTGCTAGCTGCCCCACCAGTGGGGCAGGAGGTTGGGACCTGCCCCCCGCCCCCTCCCCATAGCTCTTTCCCAGCTCCCTGCCCCCAGTCATGGAGCTGGATCTGGGAGCTCTCTGGTGCTGGGGCAGGGGGATATGGCCTCAGCTCGTGCTTCACTATTGGAGCCCACCCAGCAGCATGCAACTCCTAGGGCCAGGGAGCAATCTCCTAGCCCCCTCCAGGAGACAGCTGTCTCCTGGCCCTATGCTACCTGCCAGCCCCTAGGCTAGCACCCAGGGGGAGCCTGGAGCTCCCCCAGGCTGCTGCAGGGGGGAAGAATAGGGTGGGAGCAAATCTGTTCCCAAATGCCTGCACATGTAGATGCCTGCCCAGGGTGGGTTTCCTCCACTGTAAATTACTACGGAGTAAACCCACCTAGCAGCATTTGCATGTGTAGACATGCCCATTGAGTCCAAATCTGTTGGACTGAAGACTATGAGATTAATGACCTGGATAAAGTCTGGCATGTGTTTCAGTCTGCAGGCTATTAGTAATGCTTACTGAACTTTGTGCTTCCTCAGATATTACATTGGACTGATTCTGGGTTTGGAAGTGCCAAATCGAGACTCATTGTAGCTTGCTTTGGGTACCCCATTTGACTTGAATGTGCAGTTGCTCATCTTGGTGCACTGTGACAAAGGTAGAAACTCCTAACAGCAGTAGCAGTAATTTCCTATAACATTTGTAAAATACAACCCTGGAAAAAAGAGAGCTGCAATTGTAAGTGTATTTCAGTGGAGTCCAGCTACCATCTGAAACATCACCCTAGGTCTTTAAAAAGAAATATCTGGAGGTGCCATGCTAATAGTGTCATGATCTGTCTCCGTTCCCCCTCACCTCTATTTCCCCCACCAAGGATTGACTTTACCCACCAAACCTTACAGTAGATCTCTAAGATTAAAGTTAATGCCACAGGTCTTATTAATAATTTAGTAACTTGATAATAATTTAGGTGGAGAAGATATGGGATCTATAACAACTTGCACAGAGCTGTGGAAAAGAGGCCATACAATGTCTTCCAGGAGATATCAAGGAGGTGGTAGAGGGAGACCAACATCCGGAAAAAATAAGTGGCAGGCTGCTGGAATGCCCCCTACCTCCTAAGACACTGTAATATAGGATGTGGGAGATCTATGGGTAGGAGGAGGAGACAAATGGTATCAGTCTCAGTCTGAGAGCATATCTGACTTTGGGATGGTGACCATAACTAACAAAGCCATCCCTGCTGTAAGTGGGGATGTTTTTTATACAAGATGACGGAACCTTAGTGCCGACCTGTGTTAACCAAAGCTGCAAAAAAGTTTGTCCAAATTCCTGCCACTTGAAACCACTCTATAGAGCAGCTAGCTATGACCTTTCCCCAGGTTACCACTGTTCCTGGGTCAGAGGGGCTGGACTTTTTATCTTGCTGCCTATGCTGATGACTAATTGCTATTAGTTTCACACACCCATCTCCTCCTACCTACTTCCTTCCCCCCTACACACAAATATGGAAAAAAAAATTAATGCAGAACAAACTGATGTTGTTCTTGGTGTTGGGGGTAATCATTAAATCTAACCCACGTTAGGAAGAGGAAGAAGAATGACTCCATTATGAGGCATGCAATCAGAAGTTTGTGGTAACCTGCCAGTAATCAGTGGGCTTGAATAGTTGTTAGTCACTTGGGTAATCCAGGTATCCAATCTGTGCTCTGCTGCTCTACTTCTTTGAGAGAATATTCAGGTTTGGGTTTAAGGATGAGGGTCCCTCTGCAGGTGAACCTGACATAAGGCAGGAAACTCATGCTAGGAAATGCATATGGGCACTTCAGTGGAAGAGCAGCTCTTGCAAAGCGTCCACAGGGCACCAGATCCAGTGAAGAGCTGTTGCCCTCACCTTAGCCACAGGCTGTGATGGTTTTTAGACTTTAGTCTTACTGGAAACAGCAAAACCACCATGAAATCAGATTCAAAATGCAGACAAAAGCAAGCTTTCTGCAAAGTAACACAGCAATCATTTAGTCATCTTGGGCCTACCCCATCCCTATCCAGGTCTCAATGGATAATTTCTTAATTTTTTCCACTGACTGAAATTTCCCTCTGACTAATTTTCTGTGATTCTCAATGCCTTGTAAAAATATTTCCTAACTGTCTTCCCCTCCCCACCTCTAGATCAGTCGCTAATAAAGAACCAGCTCATTCGCTGTCTCTTGAAGAGAGGCTGGTGCTCTCTGATAGGAGTCAAAAGCTCAGGTAATGGGTCAAGTTTCAAGACAGAGGCTGAAACAAGAGAGAAATTTGGTTCCTATTTCAGCATTTAGTAGTTGGGGTGGCTGATTTCTGAAACATTTTGCATGTTGGGCTACATGGAAATGTCAAGCTTTCTACAAGTGTTACACTAGGAGGGGATAACTTGGATATTTAAGCATAAGCTGTAACTAGGAACCATCAATGCTCATGCCAGCAAGGCCACCCTATCTATTTGTCTTGAAGTCAGACATCTTGAGATTCACATAGGGTGTGTCTATACATGCAAATATTCTGGGGTGAGTTTACTCTAGATTAATTTACTCTGTAAACCCGTATCTACACATGCGGGGAAATGGCAGCAGATTTGCTTCTCATGGCAGCAGTCTGCTCCCCCCCCGGCCCTGCACCAGCCCCCTGAAGCAGCCAAGGGGAGCTCTAGGCCCAGGGACTGGCAGGGAGCATGGGGCCAGGAGACAGCTGTCTCTTAGTGGGAGCTAGGAGATCCCTGCTGCCAGGGCAGTAGGACATTTTCCAGGCTCCAGTGGCGGATCCCGTCTGGCAACAGGCAGTTCCCAGGGGCAAGGAACAATCTCCCGCCCCCTGCTGCCCGGCTGACTGGGAGCACATTTGCTCCTGATTGGCTGTCTATGCATGCCATACTGTGCAGTAATTACTCCTGAGTAAATATGCTACTTGTTTTTACAGGTAGCAAATTTACTTGGGATTAGAGCAAATTACTGTGCAATAATTGTCTGTACATGTAGACAGTGGTGCTTACTGCACAGTATTTTGCTCTAATGTCAAGTAAAATGTCTTGTGTAGATGTGCCCATAGGTCTTAAAAAAACAAGAGTCTGTCTGCTTTTTCTATTAACTTTAATGTTCCCATGATTATTTTTTGAGAGAGGATACTGAGCTCCATCTCCTTGGCCAAAGGTGTTCAGGTTAGACAGTAGAGACAGGTTAGAACTAAGTGAAGAGAATATCATAATCCATCACACAAGTGACATCTACTCCAGGCTCGATATTTGTATCTGTCTCCATTTAGAAGCTTACAACAACTGCTTTGAGAGGCTGGGAGAAAGACACTATTTTCTTGTCCTTTTCCCCCTTACCCCTCACACATACATTTTAACCCTCCTGCAATTTAGGAAATACTAGTGTGAATCCTGAGAGAACATCTACTGACCATTTTAGCCTTGAGAGTGTGATTGAGCAGCTCACTCCTCAGTGAAGGTGAAAGACATGAATTCTTCAGCATAGCTAGACTTTTTGTGCAGCCTGAAGCAGAGTTTTCATTCAACAGAAAGTCAGATTACTTCAACCAAAACAAGCTAAGAACTGGTTGGATTGTGATTCTGAGATGAAGGAACCCATGTTATTACAGGCAGTCTGAAATGTCATGTGAAGTATGCCAAGATTAAAAACTATGGGAAAGGTGCCTGCCAACTGTAGAACTTTGATCAGAGCTGCAGGATACCCCACAATATGCTATAATCTGTCCCCAGCCCCCTGAGGTATGATGATTGCAATCTTAAATGTTCCTAATTATGATTGTATCAGGAGAAAAAGGTCAAGCATTTCTGAATATGCCAAATTGCTGCTAGAAAATACCATATGTGGGTATGGGGGGGAGGGTGGAGCTTAATGTAACTGCATGGCTTCACAGGTGTCTGCTTTTGAACACATATTAAGGAGGAAAGGATAAAAAATAGGTTATAGTGGCTGAACTTATGATTCATCCAGACATTCTAGAAGATTCCTGGAATGAAGGTGGGGAAGCCTTATTTTCGTATTCAAACTGCTGAGGGCTTGACAGAAATGGCAGGCTGTAGAGGGAATAGGAGTGGAAGCAGGAGCTGACAAAGATGGGAACAAAGAGGAGGTTGTGGGGGCCAGGAAGGCAGAAGAAGAAAGTGTAGACATGACTGGACAAGAACCCAGTAAGGCTGCTGTTGGAGGACATGATGGGGATGCTGGATCTCCTGGTTTCATAGAAGTCTATGGAAATGTTGGATCCTCCTAGTTTCAGAGCAGCAGTGATGCTGTAGATACATGGATCGCTTGGTTTTGGGGAAGAGGGAGTGGCTCTGGCTTTCTCAGGTTGTCCTCTTTTATGTGCAGTCACCACCCATCTCCTCTTTGCAACTGCTTCAAAGTCAAGATGGATGAAACCTTCTGCGACAGCCCCAGTGATGACCACCCCTGATGCAAAGAACCCACCACCTTTTGAAAAATGCTTTATTATATATTTAGTGCCTTATATTCAATAAAGAATTGAAAAATTGTTACCAGTTTTCACTATCGCTTTGTGTTTCACCTCAGTTTCTGTTTATGGATGGTGTTTTGAGAGGCTGGCTTTTACCCTTTATCCAGCACTGAGAGGTTGGATCTGCTATGGAGCACAGAGCTGCTCCATAGCCGTCTCACACTCCGCTTTAGCAAACTCAGAACCCTGCCTTTGCTTTACATTGTGTTCTCTTAGAGGATGCCACATGTTGTCATGCCAGAAGCAGAGCCTGATCTCTAAAGTGAATTAGAATAGAAATTGGCCAAATGTCCCTTGGGGATAGCAAATGACTAAAGCTCACTCTGAGATCACCACAGAGGCCTCTGTGAGGCAGCTGGTTAAATAGTTTTACTTCACTGGGATGATGTCTAGGGCAGAGTTTGATGAAGATCATTACTTAGCACTTCTGTCTTGCTCAGCTGTTGTGAAGACACACGTGTCTATGAGGTCACCAGCTCAGCACCTCAAATTAGTTGAACTGTTGTCAAAATACAGGCCCTTATGAGGTAACTGCCTGAGCTGGTATCTCAACAGAAGTCTCTATGAGGTCACTTGCTCCAGTTTGATACACTGACCTACGCAGCTCTTTCTAACACGAAAAAAGAAACCAAAGCAAAACCAGGGTTTCAGGAGGGCTCTGTCTTGCCAAGTTGCCTTCAAGACAGAATCCTCTGGGCACAGTTACCTTGCACTCAATCATACCAGGCCAGCTTTAACAATATTCTCCCATAGTGGTCCAGAATTGCCCAGCTTGGGCCCAAGCCTGGCTGGTGCTAGGACCCGACAGCCACTGCCACTTCTCCCTGCCACCTAGCAACTCCATGCTGCTTGGCCACCCAACTGCCTGGCCACAGTATGGCACTGGTGAATCTCCTTGGCCCTGAACTCTGCTGAGCTTCTCCCACTGCCAAACGTTGCTGAAGCCCCAGCTCCACAGGTTGGATCCAGTGGCTCTTTGGGCCTTTGGTTACTAACCTCTGTACTAGACTGACAATGATTCTTATGCCTCATTCTTAAGTTCTCAGTTCAGTAATTTCAACTTTTTTATTACGTCCCACAGGGTTACAAGTGGTGTAAATAATCATTGTGTCAGGTGGAATCAGTGTCGCTACTGTTTGAATGGAGGCGTAAGAGAAACTCAGAGCCCTGTTGAGTCTTTGATTCATAGTTTCATAGCTGGTAGGGTCAGAAGGGACCTGAGCAGATCATCAACTCCAACCCCCTGCCGTGGCAGGAAAGAGTACTGGGGTCAAACGATCCCAGTGAGGTGTTCATCCAGCCTCCTCTTAAAGACCCCCAGGGTAAAAGTCAGCACCACTTCTCTTCGAAGTTGGTTCCAGGTCCTAGCCACCCTGACTATGAAGTAGCACCTCCTGATGTCTAGCCTCAATGTACCCTCTGACAGCTTGTGACCGTTATTTCTTGTCACTCCTGGTAGTGCTCGGTGGAACAGGGACTCCCCCAATGCCTGCTGGTCCCCCCTGACCAGTTTGTAAATGACCAGTAGATCCTCCCCTCAGCCTTCTCTTGTGAAGGCAGAAGAGGTTCAAGTCCCTTAACCTCTCCTCGTAGGGCCTGCCCTGCTGGCTCCTGATCATGCAGATGGCCCTCCTCTGGACCCTCTCCATGTTGTCCACATCCCTCCTGAAGTGCGGCACCCAGAACTGGACGCAGTACTCCAACTGCGGCCTGACCAGTGTCGCATAGAGGGGAAATACCACCTCCGTGGACCTGCTTGAGATGCATCTGTGGATGCATGACAAGGTACAGTTGGCCTTCCTGACCGCTTCCCCACACTGTTGGCCCATGTTCATTTTGGCATCAATAATGACTCCAAGATCCTTTTCTGCCTCTGCACTGATGAGAAGGGAGCTCCCCAGCCTGTAGGTATGCTGCTGGGTCTTCCTCCGCATGTGCAGTTCCTTGCATTTGTCAGTGTTGAAACCCATCCTGTTCTCATCCGCCCACCCCTGTAACCTGTCTAGGTCTGATTGCAGCCTATTCCTCCTTTCTAGCATGCCCACTTCTCCCCACATCTGCGAATGTAGTCTGCGAATTTGAACAGGGTGATTTTTACAGCATCGTCCAAGTCGCTGATGAAGATGTTGAACAGTGTGGGCCCAAAGACCAAGCCCTAGGGGACCCCACTGCCCACATCCCTCCAGGTCGAAAATGACCCATCCACCACCACTCTCTGGACATGGCCCTCCAGCCAACTAATGATCCATCTGACTGTGTAGGTGTTGACGCCACAATCCCCTAGTTTTTTAATGAGAATGGGGTGAGAGACAGTGTCAAAGGCCTTCCTAAAGTCCAGAAAGACTATGTCCACTGCTACACCTGCATCTAAGGATTTTGTGACCTGGTCATAGAAGGCCACCAGGTTGGTCTGACAGGACCTGTCTCTAATGAACCCATGTTGGTTGCCCCTAAGCATAATCTCCCCTGCTGGCCCCTCGTGGACATGCGCCAGGATAACTCTCTCAAAAAGCTTACCCAGGACCAAGGTAAGACTGACTAGCCTATAGTTTCCTGGGTCCTCCTTCCTCCCTTTTTTGAAAATGGGAACCACATTGGCCCTTTTCCAGTCCTCTGGCACCATGCCAGAGCACCACGAGTGCTTATAAAGCCGTGCTAGGGGTCCCGCAATGACCTCTGTTAATTCCTTCACCACTCTGGGGTGGAGATCATAAGGACCTGCTGATTTAGATATGTCCAATCCCTCCAGAAATTCTCTGACTAGGTCCTCACTGACCCTAGGCCTGGGTGTGCCTCCCCTGGGACCTACCAGGGTCCCGGTGGGGGAGTGGGGGTGACCTGGTCCCTGCTCAGAAAAATGGAGGCAAAGAGATTGTTAAATAGGTTAGCTTTGCTGTCTGATGTGATGACCAGATTTCCTAGAGTGTCCTGCAGAGGCCCCACGTTACCCAGTACCTTCTTTTTACTCCCTATGTATTTGAAAAAGGACTTTTTGTTGTCCTTGATCTGGGTAGCTAGTCCCAGTTCCATCTCCGCCTTGGCCTTTCTGACCGCCTCCCTACATCCCTGAGCAACCGAGGTATAGTTCTCCCTGGTGATGGCCCCTCCCTTCCATTGGGTGTACACCTCCTTTTTAGCTAGGAGACGTTCCCGTATGCTTTTGGTGAGGCATGGGGGCTTTTGCACCCTCTTGCCCCCTTTGATCCACATTGGGATTACCTCCCTTTGGCCTTGGAGGATCATCTCCTTAAGGAACAACCACTCTTCCTGGACACCCGACTCCCCTCCCCTCCAGGAACTCAGTGCCTCCCCGACTATTCTCCTTACCTCATTGAAATCTGCCCTTTTGAAGTCCAGGGCTGCTGCCTTGCTGCAGGCCTTTGCCACTTTGCGCTGGATGGTGAATTCCAGCAGGCGATGATCACTGTCGCCCAGGTGGTTGAGCACCCGCAGACCCCTCACCAAGTCGTCGCCTGTGGCCAGGACCAGATCCAACAAGGTGTCTCCCCTGGTGGGGCTGTGCACCTCCTGGGTTAGATGGAGGTCCTGTATCTTGACTAGGAACCTACGTGAGCACTCAGACCTTGCTGACTGCTCTTCCCAGCAGATGCCTCCACAGCAAATTCTTCACCTCCGTTTTCTTGTGCAGGGACCGGGACTCCCCCATCGTGTTTCAAGACGGACTCGAGGGGAACGCCTCAAGACCTAAGGTTGAGGAGGACCAGGTTAGAGTACTTCTGGAGGGGCTGGACGTGTTCAAGTCAGCAGGTCCAGATGCTCTCCACCCCAGGGTGTTGAGGGAGCTAGCAGGGGTTATTGCTGGGCCCTTGGCACAGCTTTACAAGCACTCGTGGTGCTCGGGACAGGGGCCAGATGATTGGAAAATAGCCAATGTGGTCCCCATCTTTAAGAAAGGGAGGAGGGAGGACCCGGGCAATTATAGGCCCATCAATCTTACCTCAATCCTGGGGAAACTCTTTGAGAAGATCATCAAGGAGCACATCTGTGATGGGCTGTGTCACAGGGCACTGAGGTGCCCTGCTTCTAAAGGGGGGAAACTGCCGGGGAAAGAGCCCTAGCAGGGAATAAGGAGCCCAGCTGTGGGTTGCCAGGGCAACTAGGAGGTCAGCTGATTGAAAGGGGCAGGGCCTGGCTCCTATATAAATCACAGGCTGAGGCCAGAGGGGGGTCCCAGCCGCCACAGAGGAAGGAGCTCTCTGCTGCAGAAGCGAGGAGAAGCCTAAGTAGCACATGACACTGCTGTGGGATGAAGAACCCCGGTAGGCTAAAGTGTGATTATAGCCGGGTGGCTTATGTTTAAGTTATAGCCAAGAGGCTCGAGTTTGTGTTACAGTTTGTTACACCGGTGGTTTGGGTGAGGCTATTAGGGTTTGGAGGAGGCCTCATAGGGGACTCACGGCGGAGTGTGAAGACCCTAGTGCCAGTGAGGGCGCAGCATTCAGGGTACATAGACCCCAGCCCCAGAGAGAGGCAGTTGAGAAGCCCCAGAGAAGGGGGCATTGCGGAGAAGCCCCAGTGCGGGCATGGTGAGCCCCGGAGAAGGGGGCAGCAGTGCGGTGAACCCTGGAGAAGGGGGCGGCTTGACTGAGAAGGCCCCAGAGAGAGGGCGGTTTGACTGAGAAGGCCCCAGAGAGAGGGCTGTCGAGAGCCCAAATGCCAGAAAGGGAGTGGAGATGGAGAGAGAGACCGAACAACGTCTATTCCAGCTGCGAGGCTTGGGGCGTAGTATAAAGGGTGGTTGGAGCCACGCATAGCCCCTAAGGCTAGAGTGTCCCTAAAGCAACCATTGTAGAGCGGGACCCACGAAGAGTCCAGGAGCTCACAGGGCCAGAAGTAACCATGTCCAAGGAGACGTAAGGCAGCCTCCCTAACATGTGAACATCAAAGACGTGGCAGGCGAGAGTCTGAGGGTGCCCTTGGGCCTTGAGGAGATCACGGCCCTCCTGCAGGACCCCGCCTGTGACA